TAACCAGCCTTGCAGGCCTAGAGGAACGTGTGTAAAATCACAAGGATGCTGACAGCAAAACTCAGACTCGGGGAAACCTTACGGGACAAACAGCTTAGTTATTTCAACAAACATATTACAAGGAAGGGACCAAAGTGACAGAGGGGGATCTAAATGAAAGAGATTTAGGACACACATCACTGCTGCAAGGTGTGGACCTCACCTGAACCCTCAAACTAACAGTTACTATACATACACACACTGCATATTTACTGCAAGATGTCACTCGAGCACTGCCAAGGCTCCACGCAGGGAATGACAAAGGGGAGGGGAGGTGCAGGCATTCTCTGCTGGGCACGCCACCACCCTGCCCGACTGCCACACAGGCGGGCCTTGCTGTGAATGCCAGAAACAGCGACTCCCGTCCTGAGGGCAAGGACTCCTCTTCCCACGCCGGTCCTGACCCCCTCACACAGGCCCACAGGGAGGAAGCTGCACAGGTGACCTCTTACTTCAGGTGTCCCAGAGCTGAGGACAGAACACCCGTGACTACGCTTAGTCTTCTCGGGAGCCCCAGTTCCTCCCTGCTGGGGGGGACGAAGGATGGATGGATGGATGGATCCCGACCCACCGACTGCATCCCCCGAGTCGCACGGAAAGCTCAGGCCTCAGTCCTGGCCCAGCGCTCCCTGAGACAGGCTGCGGAGAACTTGAAACGTAGTTTATAGGGTTATACAAAGTCTGGGCAGGTCCTAAAGGATCGTTTGTTCCAGCATCTTCACTTTGTAGAGCATAAAACTGAAATCTGTAGAGGACTGTTTGCCCTTCATCTTCAGTGGCAAATTCAGTTCTGGAACCCAGGTGTCTTGACTCCAGTACAGTGATTTTTGTATTAAGCGGTTATTCTTTAAGTAATGACCCTTTCACCCTGTGTCCTTCACTAGGTCATTCAACCAACTTCGTGGTGACCATCCTCTTACCCTCCAAGCGGCCCAAAGATTACTGGATTGCCAAGGGATCGGCCCTGCTCTGCCAGCTGAATGAGTGAAAAGGAGCCGCCTCTGGGCAGAAAGAGAACCGGGCCAGAGATCTTTCCTGACAGGCAAGAAAAGCCTGCGTAACTTCTACGTGAGCAAAAGGTGTGACTTCTGATCTGGCTTAAGGGTAGTAAGGGTGGCTTTTATTTCTCTTTTAACCTAAAATAAAGTGTTTTGAGTTTTCCTTTCAATTGGTGATTCAAGCTCTGATGTGAAAGCACTTCTCTCTTAAGCCTGCCCTCCCCCGCCCCCCAGCGTGAGGGGTGGACACACCCAGCAGTAAAGGGGGACTTGGGGGGAGGGCGTGGCCAGGGCGGAGTCAGCGCTCAGCACTGCCTCACCCCCTGGGGCTTCCTTCTTCGTCACACTAACGAGAAAGGCCTGTGGACACGCCGATCACACGGCCCCAGGTCCTTCTGCTTCTAGACCAGATTAAGGCTCAGAGCCCAGCGCATGAGATCTTGGCCCCTGGTGCTATTCCCCCAACTCTGTGGGGTAAGATTACAACCCTTAGAAGAGCCTTCAGTGTTTTCATGAGAATGCAGCTCGGCCCTGCCCCGGTGCAGAACAGTTGTTGGCTTTAGGATGAACCCACGTGAAAACTGGCCAAGTCCCGCTCAGATGCATTCGCGCCCCGGCCACCGCAAGAGCAGAGGATGTCGGGCCAGGGCTGAGATGCACCCGCCACTGCGGCAAACCGTTTTGCATCAGCCCTGCCAACAGGGTATGTTTGCTTTCGTGGCCATATTATAAGCCAAGAAACTGGGTGCCACCCAGCTAGGATGTGGACCTCTGGAGACAGCCACGCCACCGCCTTACAGAAAGCTAGAACAATCCTACCCTCCCATCTTACCTCCCCCAACCCCCCCGCTTTCATCCCACACCCACCAGAGTTAACAGACCCCCCCATGAGGCAGGGAGCGCCACCCCATTAGTCAGAGGTCAGTGCAGGGATCAGAAACTGCTCTTGGTGCCTCAAGCAGGAACCCGTGCTTCCGAAGCCACGGGAATGGCTGCAGCTGCAGAAGTCACAGGGCTGCCGTCAGGCCCCGCAGCGGCTGAAACCCAAGGCCAGAAAGCTGCAGGAAACTGTGCCAACCGCACAAGCACAGCACACTCGCACAGCAGGTGAGCGGGCAGAGGGATGCAGAGCCTGGCCCCTGCACAGACTGGGGTCTGCGGGAGCCCGCCCGTAACGCCACCGCTGCTGGAGAAAAAGGCTTCCGCCCCCTCACCTTCCAGATCTCACGACAGAGGATCTCATTAGAAGACGCAACCACAGCAGCGAGGGAATCTGGGGGAGGTGAGCCCTCCTATCCCTGCAACACGGGTACAGAATGGCGCAGAGGCGGTGGGCATGCGTTCCGAGTGCCACCGCATCGCTCTTTCAGTGAGACCCCAAAGGTCTTCCTGGCCCTGGAAATGACTGAGAATGAACCCACAAGAAAGCTTCCGGAAAGGAAGGGAAGGCGACAGAGCTGCACACCCAGGCAGTCAAGGCACCGCAAACCAGGTCAGGAACAGGCACACCTACTTCCTACTGGCCCCATCAGGTCCTGGGCAGGCCCTCAGGGTTTCCGGGAGCTGCTCAGAGGCCCGGGAGAACCGTAAGGAAACTCTGCCGTAGGCGGGAGACCCCGGTCTGTAACCGTGGGAGCGGGGGGAGGCGGGGGGCAGCTGTGCTGGCCTGAAGGGTCCCATTTCACACTCGAGCAGGGCAGTTCTACTTACTCACTTTATGTAGAGATTCTCCATAAGATTTTATTTGAGAAAGACAAAGGCACATAAATAAAAAATAAGTAACAGGACAGGAAAAGGGGGGAAGAGTTTGAAAACCACCTTCCTGCACAGCACCCCTGACAAAGCCCACCCGGCCCCCCGTCTTCAGCCTGTGGATGAGAGACTCACACCATGCACAGCGCAGGCACTTGCCAGGGCAGGAAGCACCCTCATCGCCAGCACCGACCGTGACCAGAGGGGAGCAGAACAAGAGCCCCAAGGCCTGCTGACTCCCCGCACCCAGAACCAGGAGCAAACACGGAGGGGAGGAGCCCAGGGGCAGGGTCCCCGGGGGCAGCCAGGCCCGGGGCAGGGCCCGGAGCAGCGCCCGGAGCAGCAGGGAGAGGGCTCAGAGGACGGAGGCAAAAGAGGTGTTTGCTGGATATACATTGGGGGAAAAGTCTATATTTGAAAGGCAGTTAATTGTTTTCAGACAATTCATTGATGATTAATTATTCACACACAGCTCGTTACGTCACAGAACCGTAACTCCCCCTACCCCAGGCATTGCTGGAGAGCCCAAAGTCACTCCTTGGAAGAATAAAAACCAACGCTGGCTTTTCCTCTGAGTCTCTCCTCCTGGGCTGGGCCTAAGGCCAGACAAGAGTGTGGGGTGCAGGCACGGCTATCCTTCAAGTCCCAGGGGTCAGGGTCCTGGCGGTTACAGGAGGCGTGTCTCTGTTTGGAAGGCCAGCACCAGCACCCAGAACACAAGGGTCCAGAGAGACCGACAGGAACCGCTGGCCACCACCTGGAGGGGGTGCCCACAGCAAGGGAGCCGCAGCTCGGCAGAGATGTGCCCATCGAGAACGGGGACCTGGCGCTGAGGGACCGCAGCACTTGGGGGCAAAGAGAAAGGCAGAGTCTCAGGGCACAGAGGGAGCACCTGGATACCCGGAGGCCCCCAAAGGTCTGCACTGCCTCTTTCCACCTCTCTTCTCCAAAGACAGAGATGCAGCTTAGGGTGGTAACAGATTTCCGGTGTCTTGGCCCTCGTTACGACTGCTACAAAAAACCAAGTGGTGCAGGCAGTAGGACTCGCACCGCGGACAACTCTCCCCTAGCCAGCTGCTTCTGGTTCAGGATTATTAAGACCCTCGAGATAAGAAGTGCCAACTCAGATCCACTAATCATCAGCCTCTCGGTAATGGCAGGCAGGGCCCCTCCTCCCAGAACACACACACAGGCAGAGCCAAGCCATGAGGATTCATCCCCAGGTCCCTGGCTCTCCCCCGACCCCGGCCCGGGTCTCCTGTGAACACCACGCAGGCACCCCAGATCAAGACAGTATGAGCTGACGGGCCCATGACCTCAGCTCAGCCACCCATAAATGGTCACCTTGAAAGGATATGGCCCAGGCTATAAAGGTACTAAACATAGCAGCGTATTCCTCCATCAATGAAGGATGCCGGAGCAGCCACCCTGGGTCAGGCACCATGGGCAACATGGACACCAACAGGATCTGTGCCCTGCTCTCCAGGTCATATTTGGCTGCCAGCTTCTGTCCATTTAAAAATGCAAATCCCACAGCACCTGGATGCCTGCCTCAGACCTTCCCGTGCTTGCTACTTCTCTCAGGCATGAAACTCATAGTCACTCCACCCAGTGACCTATCTCACTTCTCCTCCTCTTGACCTCCCAGGCTCCAGCCAGAATGACTTCATCCCTGGCTCCTTTAACATGATCACTCTCTCCCCACATCAGGCTTTCACACTGTTCCTTTTGCTTGGAGCGCCTTCCCCTCCTTGTTGAGTTGTTTACACACTCATTCAACATTTATTATTAACCATCTCTGCAGGTTATCAGATCCCTGAATCTCCTGATCCAGACTCAGAAGCTCTCTGCATTGGGCTCCACTTTGTCAGGCTTCTACTCCACATCAGCCCAAAAGTCGCTTCCTCCTGGAGGCCTTTCCTGATCCCCCACCCCCACCCTGATGTCCCACACACACATACACACACACACACATACGCACACACGCTGCCCCTGCCCCTGCCCCCGACACTCCCCTTGCCAATAATCATCTCAGAATCTGGCTTCCTCCCCAGACTGTGAGCTCCATGAAGGCAGCACCGATGTGGGTCGGGTTAACCCCAAAGCCACAGCACACAACACAACAGTGGGCACTCAGGAAGAACTCAGAAAGTCTGGGTTAAACTGAACTGGATCCTGGATCTCAAGACTCTCCGGTGTCATTTTCCAGCAGCCTCCTACCCTGCAAACCAGGCTGAGTCCCCATCTTTGGCTCCTCTGCCCACCTCTGATGCACCCACTGGGCAACTCTGAGAGCGTACATTCTCTGGTCACCACGCTCCCTGCAAAATGTGGGGGCTGAACGAGCCCAAGCTATGAGCCTGTCCCTGACCTGCGGTGGAGAAAGGGCTGAGCAATCAAGTTCTTTTCAGCCTCTAGTCCAGCCTCATGCTACTTTTAACAGATCTATCCGTGCCCCGGCCCCATCTGTTCCTTTTTTCTTTTTCTGAGGAGGATGTAATTAAGCTTATTTATTTTTAATGGACATACTGAGGACTGAACCCAGGACCTCCTGCATGCTATGCACACCCCCTACCACTGGGCTATACCCTCCCCTCCCGTCTGTGCTGTAACACTGATAAACATGTGGTCCTGGCCCGGCTTGAAGCAACTACTTCTAATCTGGACACATCTCTATCACAGCCGACAGAAGACCGCTGCCCACGGCCCTGAGGAACAGGAAAGGCTGCTGCGTGACACTGGGACGCTCACCCCTACCAGAGCCTCGAACCTCCGCCCCTTGAGCAGTGCGCCTCGCATTCCTGGGCTGCTGCCCACCCGCACTCCTGGCGTGAGGACGGATCCCGCGATGGGTTCCTGGATGGCCCAGCCCAGTCCACCCCCCTCACCTCTTCTCCAGTCCGACCCACAGGTCGCTGAACTGCCGGAGCCGCCGCCTCCGCCGCCACCTCCAATTCTTCCGGCACTTTCGTTCTGCCCCGCCTGGCAGATCGGCACTTAAGGGCAGACACGTGGAGCCGCAGCACGTGCGGCGGCAACAGTGAGCGCCCAGCCCACCCAGCTTCCGGTACCGGTGCTTCTGGGCAGGCACTTCCGGGGCGGGCACTTCCGGAGCAAAGACGGCAGTGGAGACGGGCCGCCACGTGGCTGCGATGAGGCTGCAGATCCGCGGCTTTTACTCTTCTCTCTGTAAACAGGGGAGGAAGGAGAGGGATCAGAGGAAGGTCCCACAGCACGGTGGTCTCCCCCACCCTTAAGGCTCAGGACCAGGCAACAGGCAGGTAATGTGAAAGTTCAAGCCGGCTAGGGAGGCAGGGTTCTCAAGGCCACCCCAGAGAACTGACTGAGGCGGGAAGCCCCATGAAGCAGACCAGCAGGACCCCCAGCAGGGCCACTACTCTCCTGCCGGCACCATCCGGTTCCTGGCCCA